GAAACAGGATCTGAGTGGGCTGGATAACCCCCATCCACAGGTCAAAGGACTCATGGCCAAGACAGAGTCTGAGCAGGCTGGACCATCCCCATCCACAGGCCAGAGGACTCACAGCCGAGACAGGGTCAGAGTGGGCTGGCAGCGTCTTGAGGCACTTCCCCGTCTTCACGTCCCAGATCCGCACACTCTCATCAAACTGAAGACAAGAGACCCAAGTGACTCCACAGGAAGGAGATGAGAGTCCCGGAACCAGCACCTGCCACCGCCCCACCCTTCCCACAGACAGCACAGAAAAGACCAGAGGCCCACCTGCCCTCCCCCTCGCTGTACCGGTAGACATGACAGACCCCACCCCCTGGAGTCACCTTCCCCAGAAAACACTCTGGCCACACTCACAGATCCTGAGACGATGAGGTTGGACTGGGGGTTGAAGTTACAGCAGAAGACATAGTTGCTGTGGCCCTTCAGGGTCTTCAGACACTTGCCCTAGCAGAGGGTTCCAGACCGAGTTACTTCGGGGTTTACTTCCCCTCACGTCGGGACAGGCCACCTCACCAGTGTCTCGCCCACAGCAGCGTTCAGGCTTGCCTGACGCCCCGCAGAGACTGAGTCACCGAGTCTCACCCCATGCCCCCCGCAAATCCTCCCTGGAAAGGACATCAAGTGCGACTTACTGAGCTCACATCCCATATCTTCAAGGTTTTGTCATCTGAGGCGGAAACAAGGAGGTTTGAATCCGACGACCAGGCCACGTCAGAGATTCCCTTGGGGAAAAAAACAAAGTCATCACCTTGACAGGACAAAACATGACTGGCCAGCAAAGGGTCAAAAATCCCAAGTGGCTGCCATTCCCCTCAGAAGACACAGGACATGGGCCCAGAGGAAGCAGCAGGCTCTGGCCCTGCCAGGCCTCCCAGAGGAAGAAATGCATCTGCAAAAGAGTATGTGCCTTAAAAAACACTGGAGGCCAGGAACAGCAGCCCATGCCTACAATCCCAGCACCTTAGGAGGCCAAGGCAAGAGGATTAGTCGGGCATGGTGGTGTGTACCTGTAGTTCCAGCTACCTGGAATGCTGACATGGGAGGATTGTCTTAGCTCAAGAGGTGACATTGTGGTAGCCATGACTGTACCACTGCAGTACAGCCTGGGCAACAGGGTAAGACTCCAACTCAAAACACCCACTTCTCCTCCCCTCCCCTCCCCTCCCCATCACTCACATGGTAGGGCCGGGAGTGGTAGCTCATGCCTGTAACCCCAGCTTTGAAAACTTTGGAAAGCTGAGGCGAGAACACCGCTTGAGCCCAGGAGTTCAAAACCAGCCTGGGCAATATCACAAGACCTTGTCTCTACGGAAACTAAAAAGTTAGCTAGGTATGGGGGAGGCTGAGGTGGAAAGACCACCTAAGCCCAGAGGGTGGAGGCTACAATGAACCATGATCAGGCCACTGTACTCAGCCTGGGCCAGGGTGAAACCCTGACTCAAAAGAAAAGACAAATAACTATAAAACAAACCAACAACGCCAAAAAAGGGGGGAAATGTCCATCTGACCCACAGTCCCGGGGAAAGGCCCTGACCACCTGATCCCTAGACAACCCCATGCAACAGCAGCTGCACCTCGCAGGGCAGAAACCTACCAGCTTGTGACCAGATATGGTTTTCTCGAATTTTCCATCATATGCTCCCCAAATCTTAATGAGTTTATCAGCAGCTGAAAGAGAAGAAGCTGAGGGTCAGAGCAAGACATGTGTGTCCAGTCAACCAGAGTGCCAGGTCGGGGCTTGGACTTCTCCACGAGGCCCCAGGGCCCTGTGTGAACTGAATCGCTAGGGATCCATACAGCGTGGCCCGTGCAGGAAGGGCCAGTCCCTGCCTCCTCCCTAGGCCCCTGGCTTCAGGGGGCAACGGGCAAGCTCAAAAGGCACTGACTTCCTCAGTCCCGGCGAGGAACGGACCCCCGCCCCCGGTTTCTCGTCTGCAGCTCAGGCCCCCCTCCCGACAGCGAAGGGCTGGAGGCACGCACAGGAGCTGGCCAGCCATTCTCCATTCGGGCTGAACTTCACGGAGGACACGGCTTTGGTGTGGCCGGCGAGGGTGAACTTCAGGGCGTAGTTAGGCTTCACAGGTGTGGGCTGTGGAAGACACAGGAAGTTGGCAGAGAGTCACCCCACCACCCTACTCCACGATGGCCAGCTTGGATCTGAACGCAACGCTGCATTTCAAGCTTGGATCGCTCCCCGTGCCAAGCGTCCACTAGCAAGCTCGATCGAAATCCTCCCTGTCAAACTGAACACACCTACATCTGAGCCCACCTTTCCTCTCAAACTCCGCGCTCCCCACCACCCCCACCGCAATGCAACAGCTCCACCATCGAGCGAGAACCTCCCAGGCCCCTCAAGGCCCCACCCACCGCAGCCTGCAACAGCCCAGAATCCCCACCAGCTCGGGCCTCGGCCCAGCACCCCTTCCTCCTGCCCGGCAGGCACACAGGAGGCACTGCTCGCGCTGCTGAAATTTCGTCTAGAGGGGAGGCCGTCGGCATCCTGGGCCAGGCGGGGATGATTTCAGTGAGAGGGTTTCCGGTCTTCAGAGCCTCCCTCCACCAGGTGACAGGCGTGGGGTCCCTGACTCCTCGGGTAACGAGCACGCGTTAGGTATGTGGCCAGTGAATGCACACTGGCAGTGACATCGGCCTGAGCAGGGAGTGACCCGGACTTTCTCAGAGCCGCTCAGCACATGTGCCCTGAAGAGCCTCGGGCACGCACCTTGCTCTGAGTGGCAGACGACGACGGGGTGGGCTGTGCTCGGGCGGCCTCAGTCTCGGGCTTCTTCTCCTCCGTCGCCATGGCTCTGGAGCCCGCCACGGGGAACGCGGAGGGGGAGTCCCAGTGGAAAGAGGCGGTCTGCTGCTCAAGACCTGGGGGGCCCAGGCCAACAAACAAACCATGCTTTTAAAAATTAATTTGCAGGACAAAGGATTTGAAGGAACGTGACCACCCTGTTGACCCTTATAGCAAACAAACCGTTCCAAGCTGGGGAACCTGTTCATGACCCCAACTCTGTGTCAGTCCATTTCAGCTGCTCCCTAAGTCAGCCGCTCCTGCCTCTTTCT